TTTCATGAAGTGAAGGGCTCGAACGAACATCAAGATGCGACACAAAGGCGGTGGTTTAGTTCAGCCCCCCTAATGGTCTTTGGAGTTTGAAGTGCCATCCGGCTACAATTTAGCTGATTCAATTCAATGACTCTCAGATCTCTCAAAGAAAATCGCAGCGGCAACTTCAGAGTGCCCGGCGCGCTCTAATCAACTCGTTTGACTGTTCTTTGATGCAAAAGCATCCTCGCTTCCCATCACTAAAGCTCTTCCGGAATTCTTTTTCCGGTGACATCCGGTGACTGCTTTTCTGGACCCCCCATTCTGCGCTCTGCGCTGGTGCTGGGAGCCCGGTGCTGCTCGCTGCTCGAAGGTGCTCGGTGGCTTGGCGCCGCTGCAGCTGGAGACGCTCCGCTTGGTCGGCCGCTGAGTCGATTCCACCGGACGAACAAAAGTCGTTTCGGCCGGCAGTCGGGAGAATCCTGACTGCCAAGACTGGGAATTGGAGTTAGAGATGAAGGGCGAGCAGCGAGGAACTTGCGGCTGAAGAGCCGATTCTTGGGTGGTTGACCAGATCTCTTAGATGCGGTCTGAAGGGCGGATCTTTGGATGCTCAGTGGCAGATTCGAGGGCGTTCGCAGGGCTATCATCCCGGTGCCTAGAAGCACAACCAGGTCATCTCCATTCAAATTTAAATACATGACATAATAAATCAGAACGATAGATCGTCTCCAAATGATATAGGAGAGGGAATTTGAGTGAATTTGAATGAATTCCAAACTATTCTGTATCTATGCTCCCAATCCTTACGAGATTTGGGTTGTCTTCCTTTATTCATCACCGCCCAGCAACGCATCGATTGCGCCAGACTTCAATTGCCGTTTGTCGGTTGAATCTTTCAGAGCCCCTTTTGCCCCTTTTTCGATGGTTTTGGGTCGGATGGACCCGTCCACAGGCTGCAGCTGCCTCCGCAGCAGAGGGCTTGAGCCGAAACCAGCGAGGCATCGGCGACTCCGACGACGGTGCGGGTGGTGCGTTTTCATGGATGAAGCGCAGAACCAGCGCAACGACATCATGGTCCGCATGGTGGTTTCTTTCATTTTGTTTGGGCCAATGTTTACAGTATTGGTGCTTGTTACCCATGTGTACACCCAAAGGAACAGCCACTCCAACCCACTCCAAGTCACAGATGGCTTGGTTTCGGGACATCCTCAATTGGGTGGTTCCTTTGTTGGTTTGGGGGAGTGTACCCATGAAGAAGCCACGATTGTTTTTGCCTTTCTCCCTCTTCCTCTCTCATTCCCCTCCAGACCTCTCATTCTTCTTTGTCAATTCTGCTTGGTCTATGAAGTATCAGGTGCTACACTGCTCAGCTTGAGCTATGACTGAATCAACTGGCATGTTTCTTCACGTGAGGTGTAGAAGAATTCGTTGGTCTACAGATGTCTACAGCCTTTCAGCGGAGTTTCTTTGCCCGGCTCCCGTTTCCAGGCTGTGTTGATCCGGATGATCCTGTGTTGCAGGACTGATGCGGCCTGACCGAACGACGTGACTACACGGTGTGGATGACTACAGTACCGCAGGTAGCCTTTAGTCCAAAGAGAACAACCCTAGTAGCTTCTTGATCATAGTAGCGATGCCAGGAGCCCCTAGTAGCGTCCTTGCTTGTAGGGGTGTCAGATTTCGCTGAAAGCGTTCGCCATGTAAGGGTGCCAACAGAACACTCACATGGTAGGGCTAGAACCCAACTGGTGAAGGCGAAGGGTTTGTCCGATGGAAGGAGCGGCATTCCTGTTCGGAAGTCTATGCATATTCTTGATACTTCTCGAGTCAAGCAAGGTTCCAGGATGTCCCAAAACTGGATCCAGGTGAATGCACATGGAAAAGTATGGAAGGATATAGAAGGACTCCGCCAGCTGCCATGAGTACAAGAGTGGTGCTTTTGAAAAGGCTGTCGGTTGATCGGTGTGAAAGCCGTGTTTGGTCACTCCAAACGACTGTGGGAGACCGTCTTCTTCTCGCGCGCTCGGGAGGCCTTGCGGGAGCTGATGTCTCAGCTACCGGAGCTCAACCGGGAAGAGGGATGCCAGGCCTCGCGGCAGGGCTCGGTGAGCGTTTAGTGTCTCATGGAAAGCAAATAGCAATAAGCTTGTACCTCTTGGACACATGTCCTTTTCGTTGGCTGCTCGTCATGTTTTTTGGGCATTGGCTGAGTCGCACCGAAAGGTCCCTGTGTTTAGATGAAAGGTCCCTGTCGACGTCGGTGCTAGTAGTTTCCATCTCCAGTACCGTGAAGCTCTGCGCATCGAGTCGAAGAAGTACGAAGAAATTTACTTTTTAAAATCAAGACGGCATGTTGGAAACAGAAAGAACTACTGGGGACGGTTGCTGGATGGTCTCACAGCAGGTGGCCTGCGCCTTGACCTTTGAAGCCTTTGATGACTTGGCCAAAAGTGCTGCCTGGTGGCTCAGTCTGGCGGACATGGGCGACACTCCGGGTGGAGTCAGCCATGATTTTTGGAGACTGCAACTGTCATGGCGGTCCCTCAACAGACAAAAAGCAACCACTGACTGTAACGTGGATTTAGAAGAGTTCATCGCGCTTTCACTTTCAACAGCATGCATACTGTGCCAAACCCAAGATCTTGAAGACCACATGGGCCAAAACCTAACTCTGAAAGAGGGCTTGGAACAATGGTATATGGTATACATGACTGGCTGGTTTCGGAGACATCAGGCAGAGGAGGGAATGTCCATTTGATTGAGGTGCAAGGATGATGTTTCTGTGGTGACCCACCCCAAATCCATCCAAATCCCATGTCATGTGCCAGATATCATTGAGTTAGTCCTGGCTCACGTGCTTTCAGAGGATCTACTCAACCAGATGTGCTTCAACAGGTGACGAAGAGCCCTCCCAGTGGGTCGTTCTGCCAGGTGCGCTTGGCACGGAAAACCGAGAAGCTGGAAGGCGAGATGCGAGACGCCCGGGTGAAGCAGGTGACCGGGTATGCCCAGGTGAACCTGTTGTTGTCGGACTCCAAAATGGGTGAAAGAGAAGTGAAGGGAAAGGTGTAGCATGGTGTACCTCAGTGACTTTAATGACTTACTGCGGGCATAGCGGCATAGGGAGAATTCTTGGCAAAAGGAGATACATTTGTACTCACTAGCATGGAAGTGGGAAACCTCCTGTTTCTAGAGGAAAGTAGTCTTCCAAGGGGCCATTCTCCCCTTCCATGTTTGTGAGTCAGAGTGTAGCTTGAGTGGTTGCACAAAGGAAGACGCATTGAAGATTGAGTTGTGTTCTTCTTGTGAACGACATTTCGTAAGATCCTACTTGATTCACTCGTTTTTTCTTGGAGCGGCATTGGACCGAAGCAACTGCTAGATAACCTCCCAAGACCTGACAGTTACAGGGTATTACAGGGTCACTTGTGAATCCTGAGTTGTTTTCCAGGTGAGTAGAGACATCACTAAAGACTTTTTGGACAATAGGAGACGTACTTAAAACATCTTAAAACCTATAATATAAGTTGAGTTCCCACATCTCGATTCACCTGTGGGCAGATAGCAGAGTTGCTGAGTCTGGGAAAGGAGATGCAAGTCAGGATTTCATGTCGAACATATTTTGTCAAGCGTTTGATTGAGCAAAACTGACCACACCTAGAGTCGGGGCATTCACTACCAACTGAAGCGGGATCAACAACTATTCTGTGAGTCTGGGATTGCAGTTGCGGAGGGTAAGCAAGTCCACCTAACAACTTGCCAAAATGGAAGTAAGGGCCCCACAGTTTTGCTTTGTTCTTGTTGCAATGATGCAGAGGTCATGGTGTGGCTTTGGACAAATTGGTATTTGAGTGTCTAGCAAACTCATGACAAACCTCAGTGGGAAGAATATCAAATATCGATTTCAACAGATGAAACCTTTTGTGTAGCTTATCCAATTGAGGAAAAGCATTGGGCCTGGGCCTTGCGATTTCGATGTTCGAATACTCCTTTATCCCACACTCAAGGGAGCCAAAACGATCTCCCATATTTCCTCTCCTATCAACCAACAGTTTACGGAAAAAAATAACATATGAAAGCAGTTTTCCTCTTCGATTGTCACGCCCAGGGGTCTTAGCTCCTTTGCTTTGGGGCAAGGTGCCTCAAGTGGGAAGAGCACAGAGCTGGGTGACCGAAGAGGATGAAGACCCATCCAGCTTTTGCCGATTCAGCCTTTTCAGTGTGAAGTTTCGGAATTCAGCCTCTTCAGTGGCATGTGGCCCTTGGGAGTCCTGATCAGGTCAATACCTATATACACCGGTTTGTGGATCTCTGGGAGATGGAGTCGCTTCGATTGCCGAACGGCTCTTGGGTAGAGGTTTGAGGTTTGGGGTTGTAGCACAGGCGGTTTTCGGGCCAGCGGCAAGCGCAAGCAAACACCGTTCGTTTGGAGGACGATGTTCTGATCCCTGAGATGGTTCAGGCAGTTCCCAGTAGCGATGCCCTTTGCTCCTACTAGTAGTAAGGCCAGGAGCCCCTAGTAGCGTTCCCTCCAAAAAGGGGGTCAGCTCGGCACCCTCTCTATAGAAGGAAGATCGTTCACCCTGCGGGATTCTGATCGATCAATCGCGCCGCATGCGCCTGAGTAATTCGAACATGGTAAGGCACCAGAATAAAAGATACAAAGCACTCATCGACACCACTTCTTTGGGTTCGCTTCTTTGTCTCCCACATGCCTTACTTCACCAAGTCGAAGGTCTGAATCATTTGGACTATTGAAGCTACTAAACCAACACAGAAACCATTTTTGACACAGTGAGATGGGGCCTTGATGCTGTATTGAAGCCGCTACGCAGGCATGAAAGGTAGGAAAGCGGAAGAGCAAAGGAGATCAATCCATTGTAGTTGCTGCATGATTCTGGTCAGTTCTCACAACAGCAGCCGCTCTACCATGACACCATGCGCGCAGAAATAGTGGGCACAGAACTTGCGTCAACTCTACGGCGATGTAGAACTAACAATCTCAAAACACCTTCACATTCGCTAAGCCAACGTTGGTCACCCAGTGTCTGATTCAGTCATCCTGGAGACACCTGAGCCCTCGGCGAGGGGAGCCAGACTGGACGATCATGAGACTTGGTGGAGAGATCATTTCAATAGACTTTGAAAGATCGGGTTTGGGGGGGGCATTAAGGGCACCAGCACAAATCTTGTGAACAGCCCCCTTTTTCCAATAGGCCGTAGATGGCCATAGGCTTCCTTTCTAGAGTGCACGCATCTTGATTGGGTTTTTACTTGTAGATGCTTTTAGATTGCAAACTTTGCGATTTGTTTATGGCCGTTTCTAAAACTTGTTCATTTGTAAGGAGACTTCTTCGGTGTTTCTCAACTAGAAATATCCACATCCAAACGGTTGGCAGATGGCACATCGCTCGTGACCTGAACATCCGTCGAGGAATGTGGTCATCCCGCTGGGCGGCGTGGGGAGTCGCTTCCAGACCGAAGGATACCTCACACGGCCGAAGCCCTTCATCCCGGTCCTGGGAGCCTTGGTCGAAGCCTTTCGACGGGCCGATTCTGAGCAGATGTTCGGTTTCTGGATGTGGAGGGGTCGAGCGTAAAACACAGCATTTTTCAGAGCTGTTCCATGGTTTAGAGTCAGAGGGGAAGATTGATCGGACACCATGTTGCAATGAAGACTGTGACAATATACTAATTGCTTCAATGACTAGAAGACGAAGACACCCAAATCACCAAGTCCCACACCTTCGTTTCGAGCAGAGCTGCGCAAAGCTGCGCTCACCACGAAGGTTCGGTTCGGAGGTTCAGTGGATCTTTAGATCCCTGGATGATCAAAGGGGCACAGAGACGTTCTCTTTTTGACCAACAAACCCAGTAGATTGATTGTTCCTATTCTTCACTCTGGAAGACCATCTGGCCACACCCCTGTGATGATGCATATGCTTGCTGGTGTGTTTGACTCGCAAGTGGTTGGTCGGGTGCAATAGAAGGACCGGATGCTGGTAACATGCAAGAGTCACTCTCCACAGCATTGAGAAGTACATAGAAGTACTCAAATGAGTTGGTGGTTGCAAGGGTGTGAACCTCGGTTTAGGAGTCATTAGGAGTGACTGGAGCCTGTCCACGAACCCACAGAACCAATCAGTGATGTGCATTTCTGACCTGACATCCCACTGCAGACTGCACAGGCAAACCGATGATTCGATGGGTGGTGGACAACCTGTCCCTGTCAGCGGATGATACCTTGGTGGTGATCTACAATCCTGCATGGATGAGCATGAAGAATTTCATGTAGCTCAGCTATTTCTCAGTGGATCCTTCTTGCCTGCAGCAAGCTTTAGCAAGTTTTCAGCTGAATGCAGGAAGTGGTGAGGGGTCTGAAGATTTCCTCCAACAGGATCAATTTGAGCGTGTCGCAGCTTTCTTTTTATGTTCATGGTTTGAACATGTATTTGACATCATTCTTCAAACACGTTGGTTTCCGTTGGACTCCTTTTCAACCGGCTTCCGATTTCATGTTTGTTTGATCCAACTCGTTCGTGAAAACTGACCCAGGGAAGAGCAACTCGCCGATCGGGACTCTCGGGTCAGGCGCGGGTCGGGTCAGCCGTGGAAAGAGGCACCAAACGTGTTGGGAAACAACTTCTATGGAAGGTGGAGGCGCACATCATCTACTCTTCAGTTTTAGAAAGGCCTACAATCACTTTTCCATTCACTTTGGGATCCCTTACAACGTGTTGAATACGTATTTACTATAGACTATATTTGTTTAACGCAGAAGAATGGACTTTTGACTCTACTTTCAATGGAGTCTGGCTTTCGGCCGAGCTGCCAGGCTCGTTGAGCTGCCAGGACCCACGCGGGGCGCGGCAGAGACGGTGCTCATCGGCCTGAAGTCCTTGCCGGAGGCGGCGCAGGGCGCGCGGCGCGCACGCACAGGGGGTGCATGGTGGGTGCACGGTGAAACCGAAGCGGGCTGTTCATGGTTTCAAGATAAGATACTGTGTTTTTTCCCACAAGGGGAGTAAGACACCTGAGACTCCCATTGGTTGGTCTTTCCCTCTACCAAAGCGTTTTCCCGCCCAGAAATCCCCCGGCGAGGGGGCCCCAAGTCGACAGGGGGGGATGCTGCAGTTCCAGAATTGCTTTATCTCGGAAACATCTCGGAAACTCGTGGTTTCACCATAAAATGGTGATTTCACCAATCGATTTTCCTGTCAGATTTTGAACGCCATCGATGTCAGGACATGCTGAAGCGTCCAACCCTTTTGGCCGAGCCTTGGCGACATGAAGCCTTCGTCGGATGCATCGGTACTTCATGCAGCATGGCTCCACACGAGATTCATGCGTTTCTGGGACCATGTTGCGATGACCCCCACAGAAGGACTTCATGATTCATATGGGTTTCCAACATTTCGTTTGATGTGGAAACCCAAGCATGAACCCATCCAAATTCCTTGTTGGGTCCTCCCTTTGACACCACACCTCTGACCAATTGGGCTTGGCAGGTCTCTCCGCGGCTTCGTTGAATTCAACTCGTTTTGGATAGAATATGTCAAAGACATGTCTCTCTTTGGGCCTTGGCCTTTGATGGACCTTGGGGGTCTACGCCCGTCTACGCCATTTGACCGCCGGACGCGACACCGAGGATGGCGACACCTTCTACACCGCCGATGTGGTCAGTCGCTTCCGGGCGGTGGACACTTGGCAGAATGGGTGAAGGATGCGGATCCTGCAAAAAAAATAAATATATACATATATATATATAGACGCCTTTTTACAGATAAGAGAGGATATAGGTGCATAATATGGTGAATCTTTAAAGACCAGCTGTATATCAAACCTGGATGTGGGCCTGAACATGCCTGAGAATGCTTGAGGCCCACAAGGATGGTGGTCTTCACCGCGATTCACCTTGAAATCAATTCTGTTCCCAGTGCCCAGAAGAATTCAGAAGGTTGGCAAAAGACCAGACTTCTCCAAGTATCAGAGGGTCTTTGCCCCTCCAACCTTTGGTCAGCTTGGATGGCTGGTCTTTCGCTGAGCGCCCTCGCGCCCGCAACAAAGCGGGAGGGTCTTTGACGGGCATCAAGCATGAGACATCAAGCACCGTCGGACCATCGGGTTTATCAAAGAACTTGATTTTTTTGTAAGTGGATCTCCTCAAGCAATGAGTTTCACGAAAAAAGTCACCATTTCTCTATAGCGGTTGGTCTCCTGTGGTCTGTTTCTTTTGATGCACACCTGCTCTCTGTTTGACGGCCCCCACCGCATGCAGTAGAAACCGGGGGTGGCGCATCGGGCCCAAGGCCAAGACCCACAATGCCGTCTTTTGCTTCAAGGACACGCAGCCCAAGCCCATCTACAGTCCCTCGGCAGTCGACTCTCGTCCATCGTCCTGCCATGAGCCGATTTGGCGAAAGACACGATGACATGCTTGGCGATGGTCAATTTCATGGAAAAGGCACCAAAAAGTCAAAAAGTTTGTGCAAGTGAGAGCCATAACTGGCTTTTGGGAACTACCAGTAAGTCCAGTCCATAAGTCAAGATTCATGTCCTTGAACTGGTTCAGAAACAATATAGTATCATGATCAATCTTATGAATTTCCAACCATGTTACACATCTATAAGCGGTCACTCACGGACACACACACACACACATATATATATATTTATATGGTTTAAAACCAACCATCACCACCGCAAGCAATTCCCTTTGCTGCATTTGCTTTTAGAGGCTTGTGACGCAGGGTGTGTGCGTGTGTGTGGAAGGATTGAATCATAATAACGTGGAGCAAAGAGTTCTGTATTATTCACGTACAAGCAAGAGCATCTACGTAGATACCACGCACACTCATGTGCACTATACAGTACTACAGTAGCTATATGTATACAGTATACATGTATAATATAGTAATTTCTGTTGTAGGTGTTTTTATTGTGCCCTTACCTTTCAATCACTCTACAGTTCTCGAGCCCTGGCGCCCTATTTATAGAGGTGGCACAGGAAATGCTTCGCATTTGGACCTTCGACAGATCCGTGTCCATTTTTGCAGGTTACATCAAATTGGATATTGCGGACAACATCAAGGAGGTCAAGGCGTGGGGGAACCGCCCATCGCCAATGTGGAGAGTCCGATGCACGTGTCTCACGGACACAAGACACACACGGAGACACACATGGTGTCCGAAGTTTTGGAGAAAAATGAGATGAATGGACCTTTTTTTCTTGGGCTCTCAGAAATAGGACCCCCAAGGACCCACAGGGAGGTTTGAATACATGGTACACTCCCTGAAATCATCAAGTACAGGGGGAGTCCTCAATGTTTGAGCCATAGCTGCATTTTCTCTTTCTCAGTCTGCACTTAGTTTAATCCTCATTTGGAGCCAGTGTTGTGCCTACAACTCCAGGCGACTGCACGGTTGCCAGCGCCGCAAACGCACCAACGACCTCTCCATCAGACGAGCTGATTTTGTGGAAAGGGACATTGAGAGTCAATTGTTCCAGGTTGAAAACCATTTTGTTCACCTATAAACATCATCAACATTCCTCGCCTGAAGCCGTGTGAACACGGACCCACGAAAGTCACAAAATGCTCCTCACTCGTTTTGACAATTTTGGTCATGGCCACCCTGGCTGGCCTGGCTGGTGTCCGATCGTGTCCTCTCCGCTGTGATTTTCGTCCAAAGGTGAACGGTTTTGAGTGACAGGGCTCACAGTGCATGTTCTATCCGCCACAGGAGAAGATCAAGATCAGTGACTGGGCGAACACAGGCGCACCGAAATTGGGACATGAACACTCGGGAAATGGGTGTGTTTCAGACATGTTAAAGCCTAAGGGCCAAAGGCTTGAACAGAGATGGAACAAAAGGTCAACACTAAATCACAAGGTTGTCATTGAGGACATAGAGAACATGTGCAAATTGAGGTGCATCTTGCAAGTTTTTGCGGAACCTCGAATCCTGGAACTCGCGCTCAATGTTGTCAACAGCCTCCGGTCGGCAGGCTGCTACTGCTTCCGCGATGGTGCCGAGCTGGCCCAGGAGTGTGAAGCGCTCATCCGCCGCGGTGAGACGCAACTCAGTCAGGCGCTGCCGGGATCGTAGCGCGATGCGGAGCCGGGATCGATGCTTGAACGGCGCGGCGTGAACTGAGCGGCGATGCTGTCTCGCCGTATTGTAGGGAATGATATATGATATATGGTTGATGGTGTGGGCTTTGAGTGTATCCTGAAGGGTTGAGGTTGAGTTTCGGGTGACATGAAGACTGGCTTCGTGGGATAGGATGAATGGCCACAAGCATTCCAGATGCTTTAAGCGCTCAACTTCAGATAATTCTACTCACCCATTTTCCTCGCAGGGGGGCCAAGAGCTCGCCGCAAAGGGTGTGCGATGGGTGTTTTGAGAAATCAGGAAGCCCAAATCATCCAAGCATATCCAAGCTAAGGGTCCAAGCACATCTGAGCGCATTTTTTTGCTTTTGCGAGGGAGCGACCTCTCGGGAGGGTCACCACAGGGAGCCGGAGCTCGGAGCGACCACGGGAGTTCCCCAGCCCCTTGCTGGTATAGGTCTTCCGTTGTTTGGAACGGTGACCGTCACAATGATCGTTTGGTTATCACTGTAGATCGGTGAAGACATGAAAAGACCCAAGTCTTTGTGGATTTCCATGAATCCTGCGTGGACATGGGTCTGTTGGGCGGCCATTACTACTATAGTATACTATAGTAGCAAGAAGCTACTAGTAGCTCCTGGCATTACTACTAGGAACAAGAATCTACTAGTAACAAGGAGCATTATATACTACTTGGAGGACATGTTGGGCTCAAAGTGGCCGATTCGGTCGCTGGATTGTCGCCGAATGCTGCCGGATGTGAGGATCAGAAGGGCGAGTTCTATACCTCCGGCGTGATCGCAGTAGCTTCGATTAGGGATGGAACGGGGGAACAACGGATTTTTCATGGCTTCACCTGCCTCTCATGGGAAGAGCCCTTAGAGATCCAGCAGTTCTCACATGAAAGATGAAAGAAGGCCCGAAAAACCTAGCGCAAGCTGAGCAAACTACCAGTGCCCGCATCTTGGCAAAAAGGATCCTCCCACCATTTGCAGACACCCATGTCTCTAACTCATGGTGCGATCGGGGGTGGCTTCGCTCATGTCCAAGGCAATGATCGCGCGTGGGGCGCCATTTCGTGGCATCAAACTGGACCGTGAAGACTTCCACGTGCTCGGGACGCCCACACAGGCGTGCTGGACAGTGGCGGGTGAGAGCAGGAAGATTATGTATGTAAGTTTTAGATGGTTTTAGATGGTTTTAGTATAGTTTTAGTATTATATGTTTTAGTATATTGCAATATAGCAGTCTTGGTTACGTTTGTTGCTATCTTTTTTCCGCCGGAATTGCAACTAGGCAGACACCAGGAACATCTCCAATGATATACCATGTGTGTACTTGCTGTTATGAACTCTCCTTTTAGGCTTATCCTCCTTGACAAGCACAGCAACATTAACCTTTTTTGATCTTTTTTGTCCGCTCCTCCCCAAACGGTTTGTGCAAGCCATAGCCGTCACACGCGTGGCCAAAAAAGAAAATTCAAGGTGGCGGAATGGTGTGCGAAGTGGCCCAACCAGCCCAAGATGCGCTTTGTTTTCGCTCCTCGGTGCGGCAACTGTCAGCAATGCCGTTCAAAAGGTGTCATGTGAGTTGTGTTTCGTTTCTTTTGCATGGCCAGCCTGCAGCAAGCTTGATTTAACATGATTTAACCCCCTTGTCCTCTCGAAGCAGTGATGGGCAAGTGTGCATTTATGATGCTACACTCATCTTAGGAGCAAGCATTGTTTTCCTGTTTCCGATTTCTGGCCGTTGGATTTCTACACAAAAACTCCGGAGCCCCAGCTTCGCGGAGGCATGATTCGCCTGGCTTGAAGTGGACATCTGCACCCATTTGATGCCCCCCACCCCCCATCTTCCTCTCCACTACCGCTGCAGTGGATCAGCTTGCTTTTCACACCATCCGCACCAACAACGACCCTGCGCGCGCATCCGCGCGCGCCCAGGACTTGTATGGCACCTTGGCAGCCAGAGGTCAAGTCGACAGTCTCATAGGCGGTCGAATTTTCACAGAGTGATGTCATGATTGTCACTGAAACGGATCTTAAAGCTACTAGGGGCTCCTGGCATCGCTACTAGTAACAAGGACGCTACTAGGGGCTCCTGGCCGTACTACTAGGAGCGATCGGACGCTACTAGTAACAAGTGCATCGCTTCTAGTAACAAGTGCCTTACTAGTAGTAACAAGGTTCGCTATTAGAAACAAAGGGCATCGCTACTAGGAGCGATCGGACGCCTTCTTTTTTCATTGATGTTTGGACACAAAAGGCACCTTGGTGACGGAGAATGGCAAGGCCATCGAGCGGAACTTGCGCTTGTGCCGTTCCTTGAAGAAGCAGGGCCACCACGTGGCCGTTTGGACAGCTACCGGGTTGCAACACATCGCGAGAGTGGTTTGGGGGTAGTAACGTTTGTTATATTTGCAGACACGCCACCTACACCAACATGGAAGCAAACATAAGCCAACACCTCGCAAATTCAGAGAAAACTCATATTGGCAAGAGGCATTTATATATACAGTATTTGAAGAATTTAGGCATATACAGTATAGTTCCTGATTTTTTGGGTGCTCCATGTTCGTGCGGATCTTTGCATGAATCACATCTAATCGCGACATTTGTACGTCACAAGGAGAGGCCAGCTGAAGAGGGTGCAGCGACCCTGGACCTATTGCAGAGCTTGGGAGTCGAGTGACCCGGATGGAGAAGTTGTTGAAGGGGGTGACTGGGTGACGCTGACGCCTCTACCCAGCAACAGCTTTGGCATGCTTTGAGACTCCAGGAGAAGAAGGGCACTGGGCAGACTGGGCACTTATACTTATAGCCGATATAGTGCCTATATATAGCCTTCAAATGTCCTTTGGCAATGTCCGAGTGTGGGCTTCCAGGACGTGCAGGATCGACCTGAACAGCTTTCTTCTCGGCAAAGCGGTGCACTTTCCATGTAGTGTTTCCTCATGGCCAATCTCTTAGGGAAATATAAGTTGGCCTCCATTGTGAGCAACGGGACGCAACCCAACAGACTCTCCATACTCATCCGCAGGTACCACGAGCTTCACTTTGGCAAAGTGGTTGGTGACTTCTACATTGACGATCGAGGCCGACTGGATCAGACTCGTTGGTTTAGTGCCGGGATTTGAAAGCATGGTGGGAAATGGATTCGAGGAAGGAACACATCTATGCAAATTGTGGTATCATATCAGGATACATATCAGGATACATAAGGCACTGTCAAACCATACACTGACAGAATGGTAGTCCTTGACTCATTGAGTCAGGAGAAGCATGACAATGCTTCTTGTTTCGAAAGGGGATTGAAGATGACTCCACCCTGGAGGGGCTCTTTGTATTGGATTAGCTTTTCATTGAAAAGCTTGAACGAAGCTCGAACATCTTATATAGTAGAAGTTCCGTTGGCATCCAATTACTTTTCAACGAACATGCTATAACAATATACTGATGCATTAGAAATAGGAGTATGAACTATTGCTGGTAGTTGAGATTATTGAGGTAGTTTCCCCACAAATTGGAAAGACGAGGGTAGGCTCTTTTTCCCGAATGCGTAGCGAAGGGTTCTTGTTTAACTTGGGAGTCTGAGGGTAGAGCTGTGTTTGCCCGACGTCGTTTTCGAGTTCGCAACCGTTTGCAACCGTTTGCAACCGTCCGTATGATGTCTCTATGGCCCTGCCATTGGGGGAAGCTTTTGCAAGTGACTTTTCATGGATGTGTCACGTGTCAGTTTGCGCCGCTATTACATTGTGATTTGCATGAAAATGACATGTCGCGCAAGAAACGTGATGCATTTCGCTGCACAGGCGCAGGGTTTCGTGAAAGTGACACGTTTGTGTCGGTATTCCATTGGGATTAGCGTTTGGAGAGTCATGTCTTTGGGGTGTTGGATGTGGCCGTGCCATTGGGGTTTGCGTTTCAGGGTGTGGCATCGAAGCGCTGTTTTCGTGACAAGTCTCAGCTGAAATGGTGATTTTGGTGGATGGGAGTGTGCTCAGAACGGGCCGAAATCATTCCAAACGTGTGGTGTGGTGCAAATTTTGTTGAAGCTCACATGAGATGATATTGTCACTTTTCGTGGCAGGCGCAGTACTTTGTGCGGGCTTTGAGGTGTGGAAGTGCGATTTTCGTGGCAGGCGCAGGGAATCGTGAGGTTGCGATGTGTGACGGAGGTGACATTTCGTGGCAGGCGCAGGACTTTGCGCGCGTTAGACGTGTGGACGCGGAAAGATTCGTGGCAGGCGAAGTGAATCGTGAGGTTGTGAGTTGTGGTAGAGGTGACTGTCGCTGTGACATTGGGATTGGCGTGTGAGCGGGTGTTGTTTGGAGGGGCTGGAATCGCGAAACTGCTTGGCAGGGCTGCGCGATGGGTGTGCTCCGATGGGTGTTTCGGCTTGACTTTGGGAGGAAGTCTCGCACGAAACGCTCGTTTTGCAGACTTTGACATGTGAGTTTTTGAGGAAGTCTCGTACGAAACGCTCGTTTTGGAGCCATGACGTGTGACTTTTGGAGGAAGTCTCGTACGAAACGCTCGTTTTGGAGACTTGACGTGTGACTTTTGGAGGAAGTCTCGTACGAAACGCTGCTAGACACTTTTGCTTGACACTCTTGCTTGACACGTTTGCTGGGCACTCTTGCTGGACACTCTTTGCTAGGCAAGAAGTCGTACTAGGATTCATCACTATGCTAAAGATCCAGAAACCCTGCTTCCAACTAAATCGTAGACACTCTCTGTGAATCCCTGCAAACAAATTCCTCTAGCAAATCGGACTAGCGTTGCCTATGCTGCACACGTCTGACGATCACTTTGCTTGCACTACAGTAAAGCCATTTGAAACGCAGCAAGCTTGACACTCTTGCTGGGACACTCTGCCACTCTTGAAATACCATTGCGCTAGACACTAGAGTCTGCAAGCGAATGTTTTTTGCGAGACGTCCTCCAAGAGTCCGACGTCAAGTCTCCAAAACGAGCGTTTCGTACGAGACTTCCTCCAAAAGTCACCCGTCAAGTCTCCAAAACGAAAGAGGGTCAAGATAGAGTGTCTGGCAAGGAGTGTCAAGAAAGAGTGTTAAGCAAGAGTGTCCAGCAAGAATGTCTAGCAAAAAGTGTCCAGCAAGAGTGTCCCGCAAAGAGTGTCAGGCAAGAGTGTCAAGAAAGAGTGTCAAGAAAGATTGTCTAGCAAAGAGTGTCAAGAGAGAGTATCAAGCAAGAGTGTCCAGCAAGTGTGTCTAGCAGAGTGTCAAGCAAGAGTGTCCAGCAAGAGTGTCCAGCAAGAGTGTCAAGCAAGAGTGTCAAGCAAGAGTGTCAAGAGAAAGTGTCAAGAAAGAGTGTCTAGCAAAGAGTGTCACGAAAGAGCGTCAAGCAAGAGTGTCGTGTCAAGACTGTCCAGCAAGAGTGTGAAGCAGGAGTGTCCAGCAAGAGTGTCAAGCAAGGGTGTCAAGAACAAGTGTCTAGAAAGATTGTCTAGCAAAGAGTGTCAAGAAAGAGTTTCAAGCAAGACTGTTTAGCAAGAGAAAGTCTCGTGGAAAATGCTCGTTTTTGGAAGCTTCGATTGTCGCTTCTGGTGAAAGTCTCGTGAAAAATGCTTGTTTTCAAGAGTGTCAAGCAAGAGTGTCAAGAGAACGTGTCAAGAAAGATTGTCTAGCAGAGTGTGTCAAGAAAGAGTGTCTAGCAAGAGTGTCGTGTCCAGAGTGTCCAGCAAAGAGTGTCCAGCAAAAGTGCCAAGCAAGACTGTCCAGCAAGAGTGTCAAGAAAGAGTGTCCAGAAAGAGTGTCTCGCAAAGAGCGTCCAGCGAAAGTGTCAAGCAAGAGTGTCCAGCAAGAATGTCAAGAAAGAGTGTCCAGAAAGAGTGTCTAGGAAAGAGTGTCCACCAAGAGTGTCAAGCAAGAGTGTCTAGCAGAATGTCATTTCAAGATTGTCCAGCAAGAGTGTCTAGCAGAGTGTCCTGGCAAGAGTGTCCAGCAAGAGTGTCTAGCAAAGAGTTCCCAGCAAGAGTGTCAAGCAAGAGTGTCTAGCCAAGAGTGTCAAGAAAGAGTGGCCAGGAAGAGTGTCAAGCAAGAGTGTCTAGCAAAAAGTGTCAAGAAAGAGTGTCAGTGGCAAGCGAGAGTGTAAAGTAAGAGTGTCTAGCAAAGAGTGTCAAGAAAGAGTGTGTAGCAAAGACTGTCCAGCAAAAGCGTGAAGCAAAAGTGCCCAGCAAGAGTGTCAAGCAAGAGTCTTCAGAAAGAGTGTCAAGAAAGAGCGTCCAGCAAAGACGGTCCAGAAAGAGCGTCAAGCAAGAGTGTCGTTTCAAGTTCGTTCGGAAGATTGTCTGCACTTGCTGCGTTTCAAATGGCTCAGCGAGCACCTGTGAGTAGGCAAATTGTATCGGCAATGACATATTTGGTAGTAAATAGAATGTTGTGTTTCAAGTTCGTTCAGAAGATGCTCACACATACATGCGTACAGTCAACACACACACGCAGACGCACACAGACGCACATTGGACGCATTATCGGCAAAGACATTTTTGGTAGTAAATAGACTGTTGTGTTTCAAGTTCGTTCAGAAGATGCTCACACACAGACGCGCACACACACACACACACACTTATGGAAATGCGTACTGGCTTGACAGCGGTGCCACACGCCGGCCTAGGTTACCATTTCCTAAGGGTACAGGTAGACCAAACCAATAGCATCGACGATCGCGCGACAGGTTGACGACGTGCGTGCAGGACTGTGACTCATCTCCAGGTTCAGGTAAGTTAAAGATCTCCAGAGCTCAAAACGAAAAACGGACGAGCGACAGGATGACGGCGAACCGTGCATTAGCCCTTTATGAAGTACCTGAAAGCCTAAACACCTCCTGGAACAACATCAGGTACATGAACCACCATGAAACAAACCAAGGGACCACAGCAACCAATCAACAGTTCAACAATAGCAGGTACGTTTTCACCTCCCTGGCGCGCGGTCTTCGTTGGCCAGGACGCACGCCAGGGAGTCCTGGCCCCCTGCTGAAGAAACAATTCAACTGAATCCCTGTGACTACAAGGGGCACACACACACACCTCCCCGAGAAAAGGCGTATCGACAAAGTAGTAGCAAGGCCAGGAACCTCTAGTAGCGTCAAAGTAGCGTCCTAGCACCTATAGTAGGAAGGCCAGGAGCCCCTAGTAGCAACCCAAGCTAAGGTCCCGACAGGGGGGAGGGGTAGGGAGAGACGAGAAAAAGGAAAGAGAAGAAAGGAAGGTGTTCCCAGCTACGACGCATGCGTCCAAGGACACACCAAAGGAGGAGCGGAGAAGGGTTCTCAGCTATGACAAAGCATCCAGGGACACCCAAGGAGGAAGGAAGGTGGAGAGGAAAGAGAGAAAGAAAGAAAGAAAGAGAGAGGGAGAGAAAGGGAGAGGAGAGAAAAGGAAAAGGCAGGTGTTCCCAGCTACGAACAATCGTCCAGGGACACACCAAAGAAAGAAAGGGGCGATCCTGAGTCTTCCATTCAGGAAAACCCCAAAAAGCAAGGAAAGAAAGGGGAGGGAAGGGGAAGGAGGGGGGACTAAGCTCGCGACAGGTTCCAATGAACCTTGAACAAACTTCGGTCGCTGCGACCACGTACGGCATGCCCGAGGGCGGCCACCTCTGACCGCTGCGGTCACGTAAAGGCATGAGCCAACTTGGAATTCCAAAAATGAGACAAACATCCCACTTCTTGTGGCATAAGCCATCTGCTGTCCGCTCCGGACACTCACATCTCCGGGCAGGGGAGATAACGACAAACCCCCGTTCGACGGGTCCACGGGAGGCACTCTACGGGCTCATCCCGGGTTGGCACGAGGCCAAACACACTTATGGAAATGCGTACTGGCTTGACAGCGATGCCACACGCCGGCCTAGGTTACCATTTCCTAAGGGTACAGGTAGACCAAACCAATAGCATCGACGATCACGCGACAGGTTGACGACGTGCGTGCAGGACTGTGACTCATCTCCAGGTTCAGGTAAGTTAAAGATCTCCAGAGCTCAAAACGAAAAACGGACGAGCGACAGGATGACGGCGAAACGTGCATTAGCCCTTTATGAAGTACCTGAAAGCCTAAACACCTCCTGGAACATCAGGTACATGAACCACCATGAAACAAACCAAGGGGCCACAGCAACCAATCAACAGTTTAACAATAGCAGGTACGTTTTCACCTCCGTGGCGCGTCTTCGTTGGCCAGGACGCGCGCCAGGGAGTCCTGGCCCCCTGCTGAAGAAACAATTCAACTGAACCCCTGTGACTACAAGGGGCACACACACTGCATTGACGGGGAGTGAACCACTGTAGCGCAACAAAGTAATCGTCAAACGTGTGCAGCAGGCAACGCTAGGTGGATTTTCTAGAGGAACTTGTTTGCAGAGATTCACAGAGAGTGTCTACGGTTTATTTTTAATCAGGGTTTGTCCATCTTCAGCATAGTTAATGCTAGGCCGACTGTAGAGGGTAACTGATGGGCAGAGATTTGCAGAGAGTGTCTTGATTTTTTAGGCAGGCTCTGTGGTTCATGGCGATGCGCGCAGCTGCGCGGCGGTGGCGCCGGCGTGCGCGGCAAGGAGAGTTGCGCGGCCGATGTGCGCGCTGCGTGGGGCATGGTGCGGCGTGGCTGCTGACCTTTTTGGGTGGCGTGTGGGCGCTGCTACTAGCCACGTGCCTTTACGATGATGCGCCGCTGTGGCTATCTTGTGTACCTTCGGATGAGGCTATGATGGCGCCTCGCCAAGTGGGAGGTAGTCATGTGTTGTTGGATTAATGTCGGAATATCACATAGCTTGTCGTGTTTTTCTTCCAGAGAGTCAGGATGGCGCCTCGCCAAGTGGGATGTAGACATGTTGGTGGAAAAATGTCAGAATATCGGATAGCTCCTGTGGTTGTTGTTTCGGAGTGGTATCTTTACATCTCTGTGCTGACCATGCCACTGTTCTCGTTGGTGGCGGGGTGGATGGAGGCAAAGTCACTCTTGTCAGCCCCCGCTGTGAAGATTGGTGGCTCAGTCCCCGGATGTGAGTACCAGATGTGAAGAAGAATATGGTAAGCGGCGGATGTCAGGCTCGTTTGGATAGGGCGAAATTGTAAACGATTGTAAGATTGGTATTCTCAAAGCTTACTTGTTTTGAGTTGAGTTTGTAAATATGTTATCGTAGTGGAGGTTTGCGAAAGGCAGATGATATGCTTGCATGGTTATATGTGTTTTATGTGTATGAGGGCCGTCAGTATGTAGAAACGAAGTTAGGACAAGTTTGGCAGGACCTGTTCCAGGGCAAGGGGAACAGATCCAACGGGGAGTGTGTGCGTATGCTTTTCATCAAATTCATTCGTGGCAACGAGTGGAAGGAAAGTCACTTTTGTCAGGCGCCGCTGCGAAGATTGGTGGCTCAGTCCCCGAATCGATGTGTGGTACCTTGGCCGCTGTGTGGCTGCGTGAGCTTGTCGGTGGTCCTTGCGCGCTGGTAATGGCCGTTTCTATGCTGGAGGACGTACCGCTGTGGATATATTCTGCAACTGCGGAAGATGTGTGGCCACATTTTGTGGCTTCAGTGACTACAAATGTACTGAAGCTGAGTAGTGGGGAACTCTACTATCGACAAGATGATTGCAGTGAATATTTTCCGATCATGACTGGTTACAATGACTGGCATGCTGATGCTGGTAAGGGCCTCTCGAACGGAGTAAACACTGCACCTCCAAGAAGCTATGACAGAAAGTCACTGTGGTATCTAACATCAGATGCAAGTGACGTTGAGGGAAACACTGCAACCTCGTGTGTAGATGACTGCATTGACCTGTCTTGTGATTATTCCAGTTTCGCGCAAAGAACTGTCGCGATGTCACCTGAAAGGTATTTCGATGATGCGGCTGAACGAGGACTGCCATTCACAAAGGTCTTTCGAATTACAAGGAGACATCTGACAAGTGTATGGTATGATCAAGGGATTGGTCTTGCATTTGAGCATTTTCGGCTCTCAGAACGAGGAGTTTGGGAGAAGAAGTTTTCTCTCCCCAGAGCAGACATTTGGCGAACCATTCTCGGTCCAATTGCAAAGATATGGACTTTTCTGTGCCTTTTGAAGATGCCGGTGTGACTGAGATGAGTTTCCTTGCGGTCTTTGCGCAGCCATGGATGGCGGATATTGGTGGACATGCCTTGAAGGCGCCTGACACAGCGGCCTTGGCATTTACTGATGAGACACTAGCCTTGGAGCGACTCCCATTAGTAGCCCGTCAAGGATTCACTGGCTTTGTCGAGACCATTGCGGTTAGGTGCCTCCCAGGTTGTTCACCGAATGTGCTCTGTTCCATCTTGGGATATGCAGAGCTTTGTGAAGGAAGCCATCAAGGCATGGTCTACTTTCGATATCAAGACCTGGTGCGTGAATTCCGCGGATATGAACGCATTGGTCTACCGGCAGGGGCGCATGTTCAACTCCACAGGGCTACATCTGATGCCTGTGAGCAACAGCTACCGCAGCAACGCCCTCTGCGAGAACATCAACAATTATTGACTCCAAGAGCTGCAAGAGACGAAGATAGGCTTCTGCTCACACGAGATGAAAGTGCTGATACGGCAACTATCGTTGATCCAGGAGCCCCTCCCGGTGAACAGAGTGATCTGAGCAGCTTTATGCAGTACAGCCCTTCTCCTCACCGAAGTGATCCGGACTTGACTTATGTGCTTCAGGCTCTGCGTTTTCATGAAGCTGAAATAGGAGTATGGCTCCATACCTGGGACAGACGTTTTGAATGGGCCTTCCTTCACAGACGGCAAAGAATTTCTGTTGAGAGATCAGCCAGGCCACAGATACTAAGCCAATGGTCTGACCATCAGGTAAGAGCTGATGCGCATTTGGCATACATGCCTGGAATTACATCAGCGTCAGGTGCTGCGGCTGGGGAGGTGCTTGCGCTGCTTTAGTTGATGACTCCGCGGGTCATCTCCGAAAACAAGAGCGCTTTGAGTGCTACGCTTCTATACAAAGTGACTGCGTTCGGGTTCGTGGGTTCTATCAGGTTCTCAAATTGCTCTAGTTGAGTGCGTTTGCATGGACATGACTCACATGACTTGATCTTTGGCCGCATCGAGACTGTTCAGAAAGAGCACATATTTCGATGCCAAAGCAGGAGATCTGGCCGCCAATACTTGTTCGATCAGTATGAATTCATTCATTCGGATCTGAAGAGTCATGGGGTCTCAGGGTGTGTTTCTTTCAATGTCGCCTACACCCTGCTCCACCCAGCACCTCTGGCTTGGTAGACATTGGGGTCTCAGATGATCCCATCCAGTTAAAACACACCTCTGGCTTCCTCCCAAGGACGGAACCCACTCTCCAGGTGTTGACCCCATCTTGGGAGACCTGGAGAAGCAGAGCCTTGGAGGCGTTTTTTGGGTTTTCTTCGCATCGCTGGCGACCCGTCTTTGATGGAGAGACACCCCTTCAGTTTTTCATCTCCGGGGCAAGAGATGAGGGTGTTTGTGGAGGCGGAAACCGTGGAGCGTGGCCACGGACCGACTTCAGTGGATGGTTTCAAGATAACTGTGTGACCCCTATGAAAGGGGGGATTCCATACTCGAATGAGAGTTTTTTACCCCTTCTTCTACCTCCGCGCTGTTTGCGGGGTCAGACCTGAACATCCCAGGATTGGTTTCTACCAGACGGAGGTCAAAGTCCAAGAGGCCGTGCAATCCATCGCGTTCGGTGGTCGTGCTCGGGATGATGCATCAATTTGAACCACTGGCTTTTGAATTTCTCCAATCTCTTCAATCGCAAGACACCAAGACCAATCATACCACCTTGTAGACAATAAGGCAATATGTAAGAACATGTTCCGCAACACATTGGTGTGCGTTGCTGTCTCCGTTTAGAAGAGGTTGCGGTTGCCTGTTTCATCCGGGTCGTTGATGATGGCATTCTTCCTACAACGGGAATTCGCCCATGGGGTCACCTGATGGACCGAGTGCCAGAACAATCCAAAACATGTCGAACAACATGTCAAGATCATTTCTGAACTCCCTGATTGGACCACCTTCTATTCCTGGTGGGTTCACATGTTGGTTGGGAGCCATGTAAGACTTCGCTAGAGTGACTGTTTTAATTCACACTTTAAATATGACACAAGGTGCCCACATTTGCTGGGCTGGATAAGTTTTTAAACCCCACCGACCCTTTTTTCCTCTATCCCCAACCTTTTCTTTAACCCGCCTAGTCGCTATTTTAACCCTGGGTTAGAAAGAGTGTTCTTTTCGTAAACACTCTGTTAAATATACGTACCCTTTGTTGAATTATAGGATGTTTTTTGAATCCAAGGATCATGCTTGAACTCACATGTTTAGCCCAGCCACCATCTATTTTAACCCTATTACACTCTTTTCTAACCCTAGGTGACACCAAGGGACACGAGGGGCTCAAAATGCAAGCAATCGCTATCCTTTCTAACCCATGTTGCAAGTCCGAAGAGAACCGCGTCGGTGGCTGGGTCGGGCAGGCTCGCGGCAGCCACGCAGCGGCGCGGCTGCGGATGGGCGCTGCAGTGGCAGCACCGAAGCCATCCAAGGTGGGGATTCGATCGACGAAGACATGTCATGTTGGTCAACTTAAGCCCTAGGCAACATGTATGGGGTGTGTCAGAGATCATTTTCTGAGAAATATTCCTACTGTCAGTGCTGGTAGTAGGAGCAAGTCGGCGTCATTGTCGTAGCTGTAGGAGTAGGGAGTAGGTAGTGTGGAGAAAGACATATTGGGGCAGTAGCAGGAGCAGCAGCAGCAGCAGCAGGAGGAGGAGGAGGAGGTAGTGGTAGTGGTAGTGATTCAGTGATTGTGACAGTGGCAGTGGTAGTGGTCGTCGTCATCGTCAACGTCGTTGTTGTAGTGGTAGTGGTAGTGGTATAGGTAGTAGTAGCAGTAGCAGCAGTAGTAGTGGTCATAGTTGCAGTTACAGTTGTGGATTTTCCCCAGTGCCCCGAGTTCTTTTTTGCATCATCATTCCCACCGCAAATTAAATCAACCTAATTTATAGTGTGCTTGTGGACTACCCTTTGATTTCAGCATCCACCCTGGGGAAACAACTATTGTCTTATATTATCTTGCATTATTCCAACTACCAAAACAATTCGGGGTCGTAGATACCGAAGGGCCGAAGGCGAACTTTTATGCCATTGCCTTGGTCATAGACAAGGAAAAGAGGTGAACGATCACCACAAGGAGAGGTTTGCAGTGGCTCCCAAAAGTCCCCAACGGCAACATGTACTTCTGTAACATGGAAACTTGTCTCTCTAATTACTTGTCTCCACAAACAACCCAGAAACCAATGAATCAACGATGTGCCGGCATGCCCCTGTAGGATTCGCCAGATGGAGCACTAGCAAAAAGACATATGATTTGGATGCTGTCCTTAAGATCTTGTTGAACTTCAGCACATCTACTTTGACAGCTCAACCATCATCGCGGTATCTCCAAAAAGTCCCAAAGCTGAAGATTTGTGAGGCAGAAAGCAGAGACATAGATTTTTAATCAGACCAGAAACGCATGCTATTTGCAGAATCCTTGCAGCAACAACTCTACTGTATCCGGATTTGATTTTTTGTACCGACATATCTGATTCAGCAGGGTTGTCGGACACAACTGACAGATCAAAGGCAAAAACAATGGGCCTAAATAGCAGAGAAGGTCTTGCTGATATTGGTATTGCAGTTGTGTTTGTAAAGACTTTGCTCTTAACCGTATAGCATGTATTAGCAGATTAGCAGCCAGTTCAGAATCGCTTTACGCCTACAAGGACATTATTTTTCATGGTGGTCTTGCAATTTCTGCCCAAATGTTGATAAGAACAAACCACACAGACTTGACCCTGCAGTTTCTGTTGCATGAGTCCAGCAAACATGGTGAGACAATCCCAAAGGGAGAGGATGAGTTGTGAACAGCAAACGTGAGCGAAGAGCAGTCCCAAAAGAAAGCACTCCAGATCAAGAGGCTGTAGGTTGGGTATCGTTTGGTCGTCGAAACGGCGCAAGTGTGTTGCCATGCACGAGCACGGCATTGACCCAAGCAAGTGGAGTGCCCACGCTGACCAGTTTTCTAAGAAGACCCTCACACACACATCTCTCTCATTCCGAGCGCTTTCGGTCAGCTTGCGGTCTCTTAGAGTGCACCTCTGACCTTGCAGGAGAGTATGATTGGCTTTGCTGTCGGGCATCCCGCCAGATTCATTTGGTCGCTGTCGGCCAGATGGTCGGTCCAGTTGGGTAGTGGGAGCAGCGGACGGGCTTGGGTTTAGCTGCACCTTTGAATAAACAACATGAAGTGAACACCCCTTCTCCCTTCTAATCTTGAGCTAGCTGCTCACCTGAGAAACTCAGGGGCTGCAACTTCCACACACGTGGGGTGGCTAGCCCAGTGTTGAGCAGGTAGATATATATATATATATATATATATGTACATATATATATATACACGTACGTCGCGGATGTCCAACAACTACAAAAACCAGGATTTTAGAATATGCCGAACCCAGACTGTCAGTCTTTTGCACGGCCGGTTTACCGCAAGATGCCCACAAAATAATTCCTGTACGCAGATCTATACAGTCTGAGAGTTCCGGGAGCTTTGAAGTCTTTTGTCAGATTTGGGTGGCGGTTTCATACAAGAACAGGACCTCCCAATATTTGTGCACAAAACCGATGCAACAAAAGACGTGGTGTGAACAGGTAAGGGGAGGCAGGTTGTGGAAATTTGCATCAGCCGTGACCAGTTTTGAAACACACGTTTGAAATACTTTTCAGGCATAACCGTTTGAAACGCGGCAGCAACCACGGTAGCAAGAAGTTCCAGGCAGTCGTGAGGCATTGTGTGGAAAACGTTTTGTGTAAAACACGTTGAAAACACTGGGCCCAGGCTTTCGCTGGGACTTCTTGTCGGATATTCCTTGAAAAATCGTTCCTGATGCCACCAGTGAATGAATTGTTATTGAGTATTTTCTCATGATGTGTAGATAGCAGGTGTTCCGAGGTGCAAAGAACACCTTGAGACCTGCATCAAGACGTTTCAAGAAGTTGGACATGACCTGGAACTAGGCCACAGGATATCGAATAAAACCGTTTCAACTGGAACGGCTTTGGATTTTGGAACACGTTATGTGTTTTTTTGACGTTCCAGATATGTTTACAGGAACGACGAGACATGGTGACCTTTTCCTTGGGTGTCCAGTAATTGCTTGGGATGACTTGCGGATGTCGGATTGCACCTCATGCGACCAGGTTCTCCGCAGGAAAAAACAGACCCATGAACGCAGGTTGCTCGTTCAAGAACGCACGCGACCACCGAAAGACTTCCATTCCTCAGCGATCGCACACGGCGGTCGTGGACGAAGTCCGCGCGACTGGATGCGAAAAGAGAAGACTGTTGAGAGAGTCACTGGCGGCGATTCCGGAATTGGGAGCTGACCACAGATTGATAGGTAGACGGGGTTTCCCGTCAGAAATTGTTATATATAATTTGCTTTGCACAGGAGGATGTGTTTTGAATTGGACTTGGGATGACTTGGGACTTGCAAGTGGAAGCTCAGTTGAAGTTGTCAGGCGAGGTGGAATTGAGAATGGCTGCAGGGCCTTCATGACCCTTGCGGCTTGTGTTGGCGGCATTTTTCTTTTGCAAAAAGTCACAAGGGTGACAAATCAGGGAAGTCATCCGCTCAACATGGTTTTTGGAAACGTAGATTAGTCATTGGTCAATAGAACAACAAATGCAAATTCTGCCATGGCGGTGCCTTAAATTCATCGCACCAAATAGTGCATGGAAAACAAGCATGTGAAAAAGCTGTAAGCACTGTGGTTTATATTCATCATCAGTCTTGCTCGTACGAGCCGTATGGCAATCTTTATTTAACACACTAAATTAAAGGGATTATTTGCTTATTGTAGGTGGACATTTGACATGAGTGACATCTGTGTATTTTGAGCAACCCTGTCGAGCCCACCAGATGCCAACTGTTCCTTTGATCCAACTGCCAGCTCCGACGTCGGCGCCTTCCTTCGGCCTGCGACAGCGACGGGAAAGCTCGCCGAGGTTTGACCCACCATCTCTACTTCGCCTTGCAACAGCTGGGGCAGTTCATGGACAGGGTGGACGATCTGCAATGGAAAAGAATATGTTTGGCAAAGTTTGTTTGGCACCTTGCTGTGGCGAATCCCCAAACGGTATGATTGAGGTCCAAAGGTTTTTGGAACCTTCATGTATCTTCATGCGCATTGACAAACACACTAATGAACATCGAATAGGACAGGAGTCGGAGTGGAGTCGTGTTCCAGTGATTTTCGCTGCCAAGAGCCCGCCCTTGTTCCAGCGAATGGGATTCGGGAAGTTTGGTCAACTGGAGGAGAAACCCAGACTCTTCTCTTCCTTCCTGGCGCTTGCGTCCCACTTGCTCGGGACCTCAGCTTTTAGAAGACGGCCCATGCGCATAAAAAACCATCCCGAACGGTACGGTTTCCCCTTTGGAGCAACATGCATTTCATTTGGGATGAAGAAGAAAGACCCCGACACCCGCTGGTGTTGCCTTGTTTTCATGGCCAGCTCTGGACAGTGCAGGCTGGCAATGAAAACCATCGCTGATTTCAATCACGAATTGTTTTGAGTAACAAGAAGCTACTAGGAACAAGGACGCTACTTGTAGCTCCTGGCATTACAACTACGTAGTAACAAGAAGCTACTAGTAGCTAGGACGCGATTAGATGGAGGCCATCGCAAATAGGTTGGAGGCCATGTCTAGTAACAAGAAGCTACTAAGGGGTTGGCGTAAACTCCACGGCACCGTGGCTCAGCCCAAACCTGGTATTTTGGGGCAGGGCAAGCCCCTGTGCACCCTCCGCAAGGAACAGCCAAATGCAACCACGAAGCCCTGATCAAATGTGTATAATCACGAACGAGCCAAATGCCAATTTCACAAAAGCACCACCGCATCACCTTACCAGGTTAGCTTTCAAGGTGGCACCAGTTTTCCGTCTGCGTGTCTACGACATGCTCAACAACCAAGATTGATTAAACGCATAGCTTTGAGAGAAGGACTCAGGTCATTTGGACTCAGGTTCACTTCCAAGGCTCTTCAGGTTTCATCGAAGCAGGTCACCATGCCTGGCTTTGCTTTCGATTCGAGAGGGATGGGCTGGGTCTGATGTGTTCGATGACACTGGAGTCGACTTGCTGGCACACTCCTTCGACTTAAGCTTGAAGAAATTGTTGTTGTAGCTCCCGAGTTAAGTCGAAGAGTTTCAACGTTCATTCAAAAGTTGATATCAGATTTGAATCAATGGGAAGGGTGTTTTAAACATGCATTTGATTGCATCATGTCCGAGAATTGATGTACCAAGCGCTCAAGGCCGTAAGATTGATTCGGCCCGAAAGAAGTCAGAAGATCTGAGTACGAGTTACATGGAGTTGGGTGCCGAACTTGGAGGATAAGGGGGCCCAGAGCATTCACTGGATGGGACCAAGAACCACCTTGACATGGAACTCCTGGTATAGATTATCAGCTTTACTCTGATTTGCCGGGCTAGCGGTGCTGCAGCTCCACAATCAATGTTGAGGAGTTGTTGGCATTTTGCGCCATCCAACAACTCTTGTTGTACATTTGTTGAAGAGGCATGAACCAATATAGGTCATTGATCCATTGGTTCAGCGCATTCTCACTTTGGTTCGGATAGTGGACATATCGTCCGCGACGAAGGGAGCGCAAAACTGTCGTTTTCAGATCGGATTGGATCACAGGCACTTTCTCATTCCTTCGGGTGCAAGAGGCGGTGATGCCTCACCGCACAGTTGAAAAAAGAAACATGTCTCAGTAAACACTGGTTCGCTCGAACATCCTCTTCCAAAGTGATGGCTCCAAAACCGTGATCACAACGTCTTCATCACTTTGAAACCATCAGTTGGCCTTTTACTACTGGTTGGTTGATCAATCTTGATTATATAATAGGAACAGGCCATTTTTCACCGGCTTGTGTACAACCAATACGGTGGCATCAACCCCTCCAAAGGCCGGGACAGCCGTCTGCTGGGCCACCGCCCCAGGCTCGCCTATGCGCCCCACGGGGCGGCGGGTCGCAGCCAGGCGTGACCACGGTCGAAGGATCGAATTAACTCGGGGAACATGGATGTTTAGAGGTCAATCATGGTCCGTCTGAGATAGTGTTGGGCCCGAGTGATAGATACGCAAAGATGTTTCTTTGACACCAAAAGGTTCAACCAATTTCCAACCAAATGAGACGAGCGACAACAAGTTGACAGTTCATTCTACTGAACCCTGAATTAGAATACTGAGCGGGGTGTCAGGATGTTTCGAGATGGTCGGAGAGGTGTCGACGTGACTTGAGATGTCTTCGGTCTTTTGCAGGTGCAAACAAAAGCTGCCGTCTAGCCCCATTTTTTGGGGGGAACCATTTTGGAGCTGAGATGACCTTGGGCAAGAGCAATAAAGCACAATTGGCTTATGCCTATGCACACGTTGGGCTTTATTTTGCTGTATGCTGTATGCTGTATTCCATTCAATTCCATTCATTTAAACATCAACTGGCATGTACATATCAAAATACACTTGAGAGAAATTGCTGGAAGTCTGCAAAGGCTCAAAATATGCTCAGACCAATCAAAAAGACGTGTTTTCAATTTCTAGACAGGATCCATATGATTCTTTTTGCAGAGAAGGGCCTGGTCAGCCTCTCGTGTTCAACCTCTCGGTGTTTCTTCTTCTGAGACTCATTTGCGTCATTTGTGTCATTTGTGTGTCCCTTTGCTATGTCAACACACACCCCGGCTGTGCATGACTTTAGTGTGTTTTGGTCGAAGTCCACGAAAACTCTGCGGGTCGTCCAGATCTTCGGAACCAACCGACTGAACTCCGCCAGGCCTACGGGCCCTTTCAGGCGGCCAGAGGTGGGATTGTGGACGGATACAACCGGCATAGGAATTTCAGAGTGAAGAGGAGAAAGTAAAGGAACATAAAGGAACACGTCTCCTGATGATTTTACTTTGAGACTTGTGGGGCAACATGCTCAAAAGACAGATCTCGCTGTTTGTGAAGGCGAGATGCCTCGAGGCGGGGCACAAGAGAAAGACGGGCGTTTTTGTTGTGGAAGATATCAGTCCTGCAACATCACTTGCGAACAAATTCAGGGTCCTGTCACAGCTTTCACAAGTTTGCTGGGCAAAAAGACTTGCTCGGTGTAGGTTCCTGGGGCTTGAAGAATGATGGCTCCAGCCTGCACTTAGTAAATGACACCCCAATGTGTTAATTTTTCTACACTGGATGCAAATTGGAGCCTTAGTGTTTCAAAATAAACCACTCTGAAAAAGGAGCAGAGCAACAGACTATTGTCACCATGAGAATGTCATCCAGCCAATTGAACGTGTCCAATCATCACCCTGGTCCATATTTCGGGGGCATTCATGCTATTTGGGCCCGGGCATTGCTCATGATTCATGGAGCAACTTCCACCTGAACCTGAAACTGAGTTTAGGTTGCGAGCCCATAGCAAAGGACTCAAACCCGCAGTTGTGTAGCTATTGGTCCAGATGGGATGTGTTGAGAGTAGACTGCAGCTCATGTTCCTTGTTAGTTTCTAGGAATTGCCCTCCATAAACCACCAAAACGACCAAGTTACACCTTCAAAACACAAAACCACCGCCGATCAGCCAAAAGTGCGATCTTCTCCGATTGACACTCCGCCAGGTCCCATGTCCGAGATGCTGTCTCATGAGACGCCTGCTGGATTGGCGTGGTGCTCAACCAGCGGATGAACCACTCGTTTTTCCGTGGTTCTCGTCACTTGGTTTGTCCACTTTCCAGATGGCTGGACGCCCTCTCTCTCAAAGAAACCAAGATAATAAGACACAAGAAGACACTTCGCAAAGCCTTGAAGCTCCTTCCCTCAACGCCCCCAAAAATGACCCAAGCCAATCATCGCTTTGGCGCTCCCGAGGCCCTGGTGGCCCAACTCACGGCTGCGCTGCGGAGCGCCGTGTCCTCGCTCCGGGCTCCGGTGCCGCGCGCCGCCGAGATGTCCGGGACACCCGGTGGTCGGGCTC